TATTTGCTACATTGGGAATACAGACAGATCTCTCCATACTACCAACAGAGTCTTTCTCTCACCACGTAAAGACTATTTTGCTCTCTGTGGATGCAAAAATTGACAAGTTAACATCTGCTCCTGTCTCTGTCCTAACCATTGCATCCAGATTGTATAATTCTAGTAGCTGTTTATTCTGTCTCCAATACCTCGACACATTTCCCATAGTATCCTTATCCATGGTGGTCTCCTGCCTACCAGCAGGCACGAAAGGCTTATAAACTGGCCTGGGATATATTTATGCATGTGTCACAATTTTTTCAACCGCATTGCTTAGTAGCAGGCTCTTGCTCATGCCTGGCTGCACAGGCATCAAAGCCCGAAAGAATCCTGCATTGCGTTCACTAGCAGCATCTCTTCTACCACCAGTTCCAAAGTTGTCTTGGACAAGATTTGGAAGTTCAGTGAGAAGTATGCTTCCCATCCCTATCTATTTTGCACTCCAATGGCCAGGAAGTTGCTGTTTATGGAGCATCGCTGATACTTTTGTGGAGTGCTCTTCCCACCTTTCCAGCACTCCTGTCTCTTTTATCGCCATCAAGTCTCGGGCTGAGAGATCACCACTTACCTTTTGGGCAATTCCTCTCTATGATTACAATCGCCCATCTACACTTGCTCTTCATCGATATGGCAAATCATCAGTTAGTCCAGAAGATGCTCATTAGGAGACGCTGCACTATCATCTCTCCCCTGCCTCTCTTGCTTTTCTATTGGTTGTTTTTAACCGGATTTCGCAGGATATTGCATTTCCTGAGGTTTAGTGTGAGGCTATTCTTCTTCCTTTTCAAAGCTGGGGAATGATTCCAAGATTCTTTCTAATTGCTGTTCTATTTCTTTGACTAGCTGTGTCTCTAAGGTTTTAGAGAGGATGGTTAATGCACGTTTTGTTCGGTTCCTTGCATCACACAAACTCCTCTCACCCATCAAATGTAATTTTTGTTGACAGCACTCTACCATGGACCACATGATTCATCTCAAAACCTCGATCAGGGTAACTTTCCTCGAGAGAGAACATCTTGTTTCTATCCTCTTTGAGTTTGAGAAAGCTTGTGACACTACATGGAGGTTTGGAATTTTGCAGGGACCTCCACTCGTGTGGGCTGTGTGTCCATTTGCCCATTTTTATTTGTAGTTTTTTACTTGGCAGGAGATTCCAAGTCCATGTGGGTTCGACCCTGTCCCGTTCTTTCACACAGGAACTTGGATTCCCTTAGGGTTGTGTCTTGAGTGTCATCTTTTTCAGTATAAAGATCAATGTTATCACTAAAAAACATCCTCCTGCTGTTGCAAACAGCCTCTATCTTGACAACTTCCACATGAGATTTATGGAGCAGCAGCTTCAGACTGCTTTCACTCGCTTGTTGAGGGGGGGGGGACCACAGCAAACGGTTTCAGCTTGTTTTTCTCTAAAACCATTTGCATTGATTTTTGCCACCAACAGGGTTTACACAGCTAGTCTGAGCTACGTTTTGGTGGTGTTGCTCGTCCCGTGGTTCCTTAGACGAAATTATTGAGGCTTATCTTTGATCATAAGCTTACTTTCATTTCTCATATCAAGCAGCTTCGTGTCAAGTGTACAACAGCACTAAACATCCTCTGTGTCATTTCTTCCACCTTTTGGGAAATGAATAGATGTTCCATGCTCAAGATCTATCGTGCCCTTATACGATCCAAGCAGAGCTATGGGTCTCTGGTTTATGTTTATGGCAAGTTTTCTGCATAAAGATGTTAGGCCCTGTACATTATCTGGGGCTCAGCTCAACACGGGTTCTGTCCACACTTCACCAGACCACAGTCTGAACACTGATTCCAGTTAACCTCTTCCTCACTTCCGACGCTTGCAACTTTCGCTGCAGTATGCTATCATACCTCAAGCCTTACCATGGCATCCCACATGGGGTTATGTCTTCCTTTGGAAATAGATGGTCTGCCATTCCTCCTTCACAGCTGGATAAATTTGGTCTATCACTGGATGAAGTTGACGTGTCCGATGACCATGACTCATTACCATCCCCACTGGTCATCTGAGGAGGACGGATACTCCCGATAGGATTATTCGTAATCACGTGACTCTGTGGACTTTTCCGTGATTTGTTGTAGCTCGGTGGTTACTCACGGGATTCCTTCTGCAGTTTCTGGGTTCACTGCCGAGTTGTATTCCATTTCTCTTGCCTTGTATCACATAGAAGCTAAGCAGTACACTAATTGTACTGTTTACACCAACTCTCTACCAGTTCTCTACTGGCCCCCGGAATAACTTAATATAAGTTCTCACATTCAGAAACGACTGGCCCTACTTTTTTTCTTCTTCTGTTTCTATCCCGTTTTTCTGGATACCTGGCCATGTTGATATTTGCAAGAACGAGTTTACTGAAACCGCAGCTAAGTCCGTCTGCTCTGGCATTTTCACAGCCGTGTCTGTCCTATATGTGGACTATATATGCAGTCAATTTGGGGTAATCACGTCCATAACAAATTTTACCAGATCCAACCTTATGTTTCCGTTTGGCCGTCCAGTCTCCATAAGGATCGGTTTAAGAAAGTTGTCTTGTTTAGGGTACGCAGTGGTCAGTTTTTTTACTCGTCGATTTCTTTTATGTGGGATTTATCTATCAATGTGTGGCCTTTGTGACGCTCAGGTCTCAATTGCCCATGTGTTGCTTTCGTGACGTCGTTACGACTGCGAACGGCGTCACCGTTTTATGCATGATTTTTCCCGGGAGTTTACCCTTGACGTTGGACAGTATCATTGGCGATGGGGACAATGTCCAGCTTGACTGTGCTTTTAGCTTTTTATGGGCCATTGGCCTTTTTCACTCTATTTAATTTTATTACCTTACTTTTGGGCATTGCTAAGCTTTTAACTTGTTTTCGTTTTTTTTTATTGTATTTAACTTCTAGTATTTTTACCAGTCTTTTGGCACAGATAACCCCTTTTGCCTTGCGACAATAAACTCCAACCAACCAACGATCCAGCCGGCTACGTTTGAATGTGTTACATATAATATATATATACCTTACAGGCCACGTTTAAAGCTGTTTTATAAATATGATATTTTTAATAGCACACAGTGTGTGCTGCAGGTTGTTTTGGCCACACGACACCTTGATTTATCTTACTGGCAACGTTTTAAGCTGTTTTACATAAATAATATCTATATTACTGGCAACGTTTTAAGCTGTTTTACATAAATAATATCTATATTACTGGCCACGTTTAAAGCTGTTTATATATGTATAGATGTATATATATATGAAGTATACTAAAAAAACATTCACTATCTTCAATTCAAAAGTTTTGTACCAAATGTTTTTAAAGAAAACTTTCATAAAACTTTGTTCCATCGCTCATAAGAAAAACAAAAACATTTAGCAGTTAAGAAGCCTTGTATAAATAATTCAATAACAGCAAAAAAAGCGTGTGGAAACAAAATATTTTCTTTTTTATGTTATTAATAGAATTCTCCATAATTATCTAAATAAGCGAAGTGTAAGTAAATAATCATTATGCAAATTATCTAAATATCCTGTTTTTATTACCTTGTCATACACGAGTACATCTTCTTTAATGTTTAAACATCAGTTAAGAAATGAACTTCATAGGGTATAATCGTCAAATACTTTTGTTTAGGTTTAACGATCTTATTAAATGTAATTTATAAATGTACTTGTTTCTGCTGTCGGCAAGTCTATATCGTGTTCACTAAACGAAAACTGTTAACACGTGTGAAAGATCAAGTAAATATGAAATCCACCACCAGATCGAATGCACTTAAACACGCCCTACAGGAATATGACGTAGTCGTCTATTTCAAATATTTTAAAACCTTAGCAACGGCCGATGATGAACAGTTACCGTATAAAGCAGAATATTTGCTAATACACAAACTGAGGCCGAAAATTCAACAGTTAGGCTCACCATGGAAGATAACGACATGATGTCGTTTGTTAAGTAGCTTAATTTACAATTAAACGTGTTGCATAAGGAATTTATACACATAAACAGATGTTATTGAGAATAGAATTATAGATAGATATATCTTAATTATTCATGGAAACACGCGCTATCGATTGTTTGGCTAATCTGGTTAACTAAATCAGGAAAAAGTATTATCAGATTTTGGTTAGTCTAGTTAGCTACATCAGGGTAACGTGTTATCATAGTTTGGTTAATCTGGTTATGTAGAGCAGTGTAACGTGTTATTACAGTTTGGTTAGTCTGTTTAGCTAGATCGCGGTAATGTGTTATCACTATCACAGTTTGGTTAGTCTGGTTAGTTAAATCAGTGTAACGTGTTATCACAGTTTGGCTAGTCCGGCTAGCTAGATCAGTGTAACGTGTTATTACAGTTTGGTTAGTCTGTTTAGCTAGATCGCGGTAATGTGTTATCACTATCACAGTTTGGTTAGTCTGGTTAGTTAAATCAGTGTAACGTGTTATCACAGTTTGGCTAGTCCGGCTAGCTAGATCAGTGTAACGTGTTATTACAGTTTGGATAGTCTGGTAACTAGAACAGGGTAACTTTTGTCCCATTAGCTAGATTAAAGCAACGCGTTATTACAGTTTGTTTGGTCTGGGAAGGTAGATCAGGGTAACGTGATATCACAGTTTGGTTAATCTGGTTAGCTATATTGGGGCACGGTGTTATCACAGTATGGTTAGTCGGGTTAGCTAGATCGGGATAACGTGTTATTACAGTTTGGTTAGTCTGGTTAGTTAGATCAGGGTAGCGTGTTATCACAGTTTGTTTAGTATGGTTATGTAGATTAGGATAACCTGTTATCACAGTTTGAGTAGTTTGGTTAGGTATATCAGGATAACGTGTTATCACAGTTTGGTTAGTATGGTTAGGTAGATTAGGATAACCTGTTATCACAGTTTGAGTAGTTTGGTTAGGTAGATCAGGATAACGTGTTATTATAATTTGATTAGTCTGGTTAAATATATAAAGCTGTCTTACCTGAATGTCAGGACAGTCAGGGGTCTGTATGACTTATGGCTTGATGGGTCTGACATGGGCTTACCCCAAAAGTCGGCAAGGAAAACTTGAACCAAAGACGTTTTTCCCAAGACATCGGGGTTGGTTGTCACGGCTACAATATCATCGTGGACAAAGTCTCCGTAGAGAGAGTTTATGTAACATAATCCAGCCACTATTCCGACACAGAGGTATAAGGTCAGTCTTGACCACCACCACCATGATTCCTTCTTGACCTTTGGAGAAACTTTAGTATCATTCTGCATGGAACCACCGGTTATGATGTGTCCAAGCCAGCACGTGCGCCCCATTGTTAATCAGTGAACTGACCACCCATTACTGCTGAGGCCAGACCTCTTCTCTTGCTTCGTGTAATGCGCCTCCTCCTAAACACACTTATTCCTCTACCACCCAACAATCCAAGCCTTCTGACGATTTACGTCATTCACAGAACGTTAGGCTAATCAAACTGATGACTACCTCCATCTAGCAGGTAAAATAAACACTAATATTTATAAAAATGTTAATAACTTTAGCTCAACACAAGGAATTTTATTCAGTACCTTATGGAAATGGATGGTTTCTACTTCCCAATATTTAAATAGTATTACTAGACAGTAAACATTAAAGTTCGTTATGTATTTTGGTAGTGCGCGTCTTGTAAAACAACGTATAGTACCAAACAACCAGAGTTAATAAATAACGCTATTATATCGTTACAGTAGATGTTGTGCCTAAGTTATAATGACAACCAAACTTCATAATATTGGTGTAAAGGACTTTATTACATACAATGTCAGCAATTACTAACTGAAGAAAGTATCCACTTCTTCTTGTTCCCAGTGAAGAGTTGTCGACCATCACTACTTCTTAATATTAGAAATAAATGATCTTATAACACCAAAATGTTGTTTTTATTTAATTAAACAAATTAAATAAAAACAACATTTTGGTTTTATTAGATCGTTCATTTCTAGTATTAATATGCACTACAGTAAGTAAATAACTACTAATACCTGTACCTGGTGAAAGATTGTCGACCATTACTACTCCTTGAACAATACTATCAGGTTTTTAGATACACTATAAAGTAAGAGTTGAACAATACTATCAGGTTTATTTTTAAGATACACTATAAAGTAATAGTTGAACAATACTATCAGGTTTATTTTTTAGATACACTATAAAGTAAGAGTTGAACAATACTATCAAGTTTATTTTTTAGATACACTATAAAGTAAGAGTTGAACAATACTATCAGGTTTATTTTTTAGATACACCATAAAGGAAGAGTTGAACAATACTATCAGGTTTTTAGATACACTGTAAAGGAAGAGTTGAACAATACTATCAGGTTTCTTTTTAGATACACTATAAAGGAAGAGTTGAACAATACTATCAGGTTTTTAGATACACTATAAAGTAAGAGTTGAACAATACTATCAGGTTTATTTTTTAGATACACTATAAAGTAAGAGTTGAACAATACTATCAGGTTTATTTTTTAGATACACTATAAAATAAGAGTTGAACAATACTATCAGGCTCACTTTTTTGAAACACTATATTGTAAGAGTAGAATAATACTATGAGGTTTTGCTGGTGGGCTTTAGTGTCTCAATTGTAACAGTATTTTCAGCTTGTGTTGATAGAACTTAAAGATATTGAACAAGATCAGACGTCACTGTAAAACATATAAACTCTCTCTCTTCATTTTAAACTATCTGTTACAGTTATATTTTTATTAGTGTCATTTTAAATAAAAGTATAATAAATAAGTCAAATGTTCAAGTTAATAATAATAAATTGACTGACTAACTTGAGAGCCTTCAAAGAAAACGTTAATTATAACTTAAGGATACTCGCGGATACGATTACTATAACTTTAGGATACACACGGATAAGATTACAATAACTTTAGGATACTCATGAAGACTATTACTATAACTTTAGGATACCCTTTAAGACGATTACTACAACTTCAGGATACTCATGAAGAAGAGTACTACAACTTTAGGAGCCCCCCAGTGACACAGTGGTATATCTGCGGACTTACAACGCTAGAAACCGAGTTTCGATACCTGTGGTGGGCAGAGCCCATTATGTAGCTTTGTGCTTAATTCCAAACAAACAAACAAACAATTCAAGATACTGATGTAGACGATTACTGCAGCTTCATATACTCATGTACACGATTACTATTACTTTAGGATACTCATAAAGACGATTACTATAGCTTTAAAATCCTCATGAAGACGATTACTACAACTTCACGATACTCATGAAAACGATTACTATTACTTTAAAATACTCATCAATACAATTACTATAACCTTAGGATACTCTTGAAGACGATTACTACAACTTCATGATATTCACGAAGACAATAACTATAAATGTAGGATATCCATGAAAACGATTACTACAACTTCATAATACTCATGAAGACGATTACTACAACTTCAGGATACTCATGAATACGAGTACTACAACTCCAGGATACTCATGTAGACGATTAATATAACTTTGAGATACTCAGGAAGACGATTATTATTATTACTTTAAAATACTCATCGAGCCAATTACTATAACTTTACGATACTCTTGAAGACGGTTACTCTAGCTTTATGATACTCATGAAGACTATTACTACAGCTTCATTATACCCATCAAGACGATTGCTATAACTTTAAGATACTCTTGAAGACGATTACTACAACTTCATGAAACTCATGAAGACGATTATTATAACTTTAGGATACCCATGAAGATTATCATTACAACCTTAGAAGAATCCTCAAGACGATTAATATAAATTTAAAATACTCATGAAGACGATTACTATAACTTTAGGATATCCACGTAGATTATTACTACAACCTTAGGATAATCCTCAAGACGATTACTATAACTTTAGGATAATCATGAAGCCGATTACTACAGCTTCACGATACTCATGAATACGAGTACTACAACTTCAGGATACTCATGAAGACGATTACTACAAGTTCAGGATACTCATGAGTATGAGCACTACAACTTCAGGATACTCATGAAGACGATTACTACAGCTTCTTGATAATCATGAAGACGATTACTACAGCTTCAGGATACTCATGAATACGAGTACTACAACTTCAGGATACTCAAAAAGACGATTACTACAAGTTCAGGATACTCATGAGTATGAGCACTACAACTTCAGGATACTCATGAAGGTTATTTTTATAACTTTAGAATAATCATGAAGACGATTACTATAAATTCAGGAGACTCATGTACACGATTACTATTACTTTAGGATACTCATGAAGACGATTACTGTATCTTTAAAATACTCATGAAGACGATTACTACAACTTCATGATACTCACGAAGACGATTACTACTCACGAAGACGATTACTACAGCTTCATGATATCCATGAAGACGATTACTATAACTTTAAAATCCCCATGAAGACGATTACCACAACTTCATGATACTCATGAAGACGATTACTATAACTCTAAAATACTCATGAAGTCGATTACTACAACTCCATGATACTCACGAAGACAATTATTATAACTTTAAAATACTCACGAAGACGATTACTATAACTTTAAAATACTATTGAAGACGATTACCACAACTTCATGATACTCATGATAACGATGACTACAACTTCATGATACTCATGA